GGGGTCAAACACCAGTTCATCCCTCCTGAAGTGGCTCAACTCATACAACTGGAGGAGGGCGTTCGGCCGCTTTCCGACAGGAAGAAACCTCCAATTCCTCCGAGACATCTGAAGAAGAGCAAAGAACACTGCACTATAGATATGAATGGCCTTGAGACCAATGTATAGCCTCCTCTTGCAGTTTGAATGGTTCTCTGTAAGTTATGCTGAAAGGAGCGCAGCAGCAAAGGACACCCGTGCAGGCAGAAGGACAATACAGATGAGCTCATCTAGCTCCACAAAAACCTTTTAAAGCAAAGCAGTTGCAAAAGACTCCACAATAGCGCATTTACACTGGAATTTATGGCAACACAAGGACAATGATAAGATTTCTATTATAAAATTCGTCCTTGGTCCTGTACCTGCTATTACTTGCATTGATTCAATAATTTTTATTTGATATATACATTTTTTATGACTGTTTGTTTTTGTTTTGTTTTTTGACAATGTATTTTTTTGTACTGCTGTACTGCAAGCAGCCAGCTGTTTGCATTATAAAAGATGAGACAGGATGTCTGCTTGGAGCTAAATGATCAGGAGGCAAAGTGAAATGCACACATTTTTTAAGTTTGCCTTAACAAAGCTGGTGGTGCTAGGCTGATGGTTATCATGGGACAAGAGGAAGTTGAGTGAACTCAATTTGTACCCACCCCTGTAGTGATGTTATAACTTTGATATGTGTTTAAAACAGAGATTAGAACTGTTTTATGTGTTTGAACAGCCTCAGGATCATTTGATTTAATTAAGCAGCCTGAAAACATCCACTAGTAATTTAATTAAATGTTTGTCAGTTGACTTGATATCAAACAGAAATTGGCACATTTCAATAAAACATTAAGTTACTAACCAGCTCTTCCATTTCTGCTGTGTTAGTTGGTTATTTTTTTCTCATTTATGTAGTGAGCCAATAAAGCACTGGGGGAGCTTCCTCCTGTCAATATCCAACCTAAATTATTTCACCCAATCCCAACTCCAGTAGAAGAAGGGAATGGAAAACTACATGCCTTGTCCCATCTGGGAACGCATCTAAAAGTTGAGCTATTTAAAGGAGTTCAATAGTCAGATTTGGGTAACTTATGCTACAATTAAATTAATCCGACTATAACACACATGTAAAAAAAATGTTTTTGTTGTAAAGGGACCTATATAAGTGTATCACTCACACTGGTTAGCAGTGTTGGGAAGGTTACTTTTAAAATGTATTCCACTACAGATTACAGAATACATGCCCCAAAATGTATTCTGTAACGTATTCCGTTACGTTACTTAATGACAGTAACGTATTCTGAATACTTTGGATTACTTAATATATTATCATGCTTTTTACAACTACGTGAATGTACTATTGCTGTGTGATTTATTACTATTACCGAAGGTCCGCGACTCCGACTGTAGTAAAGGGACCTCTGACTAATACGGCGGGTTCATGTCGGGCTCTCTCTCACCCAGGAGGCACACAGTCGCAGAGAGCGAGAGCGCTGCCGCCTGGAACAACAGAACATAGCTGTCAAACAAACCCAAACAACCCGTGACAATATGAAACAGGAAAGTACCGCAGTGTAATCCATTTATTTCAACAAAGTAACTGTATTCTAAATACCACCTTTTTAAATGGTAACTGTAACGGAATACAGTTACTCATATTTTGTATTTTAAATACGTAACGGCGGTACATGTATTCCGTTACTCCCCAACACTGCTGGTTAGTGACACACCCCACCACCACAGCTGTCTATTCCTCGACTACTGGAGGTTACTGCCTGTTACTGGGTGACAGCCAGTAGGGAGCAAACACTTGCTAATTCACCACAGGGAGATGAAACTTGAATAAGTGAAAGAAATCAGTCAGAGACATCTTTGAATGGAAATTAAGATCGTAATATGTTGCACGGGCCTGGATATTCACGCCATTTTCCTTCACTAAAATATCTATATAACAACTGCAAAGACAGTCTAAGTTGCAACTAGCTAGTAACAAACACCCTGACCGACTGTTTAAGACCAAAGTCTTACTATTTCTTGTTCATGTCATTTTATTCTAGTTAATAATAAGCTACTTTCATAAACCTCTTAGAACAGCACCATCTCCTTTTTCTTTTTTTTTATTTATTGAAATATCGTCTTACATTGACACTGCTGGAAAATTGTGAACTATAGTTTCTTTCCACTGGCTTTGTCAGCAAACATATCACATATGTGCATGCGTAATACTTGACACAGGCACCATGATTTTACCAATTGCTTTGTGGACTGCTTGGTACTGCTTGAAATGGTGATATAACTGAAGATTTGACAGACTCACTCAAAGGGTATCTCAAACCTAACACAACCTAACGCCCATTTTACTCTATATGGGAACGCAAATTTAAAATGAAGAATACTTGCATTCATTTGGAATGTTTTTACTTGGGTCATAAATCAATGTCTATACAGTCATACTTCTTTCAGCAACTCAGAGGCATGGCCACCTGCAGGCTATTGGAAAGAATCTAGATTTAATGCACATTTGCAGAAAAAGCATAGAGCACATGCTATTTATAAATTACCATTGCAGTTTTGCTGCTCCAGAAAGAGAATTTCCATCATGATCCAAAATTATAATTATTAAGAACATTTTCTTACTGTACATTTCAATTTTGTCATATAAAGGCAGAAATGTACTCTTCCAAATAATATGTTTTCATCTGTTTTGTCATTCCATTAATAATTTTTCTCAGCTCTTTACACAGTAAATACCAGAGAATTCAGAGCATACAGACTGAGGTGTGTTTTTCTCTGGCTAGTGTCCTGCCTATTTTTATAATACTGAACAGATCTGCTATAGCTCCACACAGAGAAGTGACACAGCCATGTGTGGGAGAAGCTGCAGAAACAGCGAACAGATTTCAGCCTTTTCAAATAATTTATTCTTGTGTTTTTGACTGTCTATGTATGACAATATTGCATTCATATCAATAAAGTGAGATTTTATGCTGAAATATGTATCCTGTTAGAAAACATGAATGAACTAAAGGGTCGGTAAAATCAGCACTGGTTGAAGCTCCGGTTTTGTTGATAGAATTTAAATATTTCATTCGCAAGCAAATGTTATTAATCATAGTGGAAAATAATATGTATATTTACCTTCACTGCAGGTAAATCACTGCTTTTCAAGATTATTGCTATTATTAAACCAACTCGCTGGTAAAACATTACGATTTATCCAAACTGTTTAGTAATAGCAGAAAAAATCGTTATAATTTTTATCTTAAATTATTTGATCTGAAATTTCCCACTTGTGGGACTAATAAAAGTATCTTATCTTATCTGATCTTATCTGATCTTATCTTACCACTCGTTATGATTTTAGTTAACTTATTTTTTGTTAAACAGCATGAAGGTAAGATGTCTATTTACAAGTGACGTATATTGATAATTGATGGCAGCAAATATGTTCTGAGTGGACAGAATCAATTACCAGTCTCCTGTTCACTTTATGTTTCTGACATTATACTAAAATTTGGCTGTAATTCATCTAAAGGACGCTCTTAAGATAGTCCTTAATATGAAGGAGTGAATAAACCTTAACACGTAAAACAATAAAATATTTTTTGCAGATAAAATATCAGTTTTATGTCTTTTTTTTTTCTTACAGGAAAGACTTACTAGTCTACTAGTAGAGTCATTGCTAATGGGTACTAATTTGTCTTTTAAGGACTGTATTTGTCTTTTAAGGACTTATTGGACTCTGACAGAACTTCTGTCTTTCACCTCCTTTTTAGCAGCCCATTTCTAAAAGATACACTAGAAAAACCAGAGTATAATTAAATCATAAAAAACAGTAAAGATTTATGTCTGGTGTTTTTGGACTAATAATAACAATAACAACAATAATAAGAATCTCCCATTTTTTAAGCCTGCCTACAGTTCTGCACATCTGCAAGTTGCTTTGCAACCCTCGTCCACTCCACCTACTCTTTTCAAGTTGTGTATGATCGATGTCACCAGAGATGGGCAGTAACGCGTTACTGTAATCTGATTACTTTTTTCAAGTAACGAGTGAAGTAAGGGATTACTATTGCAAAAACGGTAATTAGATTGCCGTTACTTTCCCGTAGGAACGCTGCGTTACTGCGTTACTAAAACCGTGATTTTTTTGCAAGAATGTCTCACGACAGTGACGTAAGCGAGTGCGTCGTTAGTGACAACAGCTGTGTGCAGATCAACAATGGATCACATATCGATTGTGGGAGAGAGTATGAGCGTGCAGCGTTTAAAGCGTGGAAGTACTGACCTTACTTTGAGTTTGATTCCATAAAAAGTGACAAAAACATTAGCGTCCATCGTGCGTGGGAAGAAAACTTCTTTTTACACCGAACCCCCCCCCAAACAAGCTCCGAGTGCGCAACGACCTAATGGGAAATTCACAGAGAAACTCGCGGATTCTTCAACTGACCGCGGCACACCTGCACCAGAGCACACCTCCGCCTACGCCACTCCTGCTATACAGGTGAAAATAGAGCAAAAGGACCGCTAGTCTTTGATTTTATTTATTTTCTGCTGTGTTTTACTTGCATCTATTTGAAAGACTGAGTGTAAACACAAAAAATATTTTATTTCATGTGCTGGAATGTGCAGAAAATAGGTTTAAATGTTAAATAAATTTTTTCAAGTCAGAGAATGTTGCATATAATTTAATTTTTACTTGATGCATAAAGTTAAAAGCTTAAAACTAATAAAACAAGTAAAAAAAAAGACTTTTCCATTTGATTACATTTTGTATGATGGATTATGCAGAAAAAGTAGAATTGGGCTGAAGATCTATCGCTTTATCACCTATTCAGGTTGTAAATCGTGTTTTTAAAAAGTAACTAAGTAACTAAGTAATTAATTACTTTTGAAAATAAGTAATCAGTAAAATAACAGGATTACTTTTTTGGGGAAGTAATCAGTAATTAGTTACTGATTACTTTTTTCAAGTAACTTGACCAACACTGGATGTCACTGAAGGCTTTTGAATTATGTGCCAGGGCTAAGCTGCTTCTTATAAATTACCGCAGATGGAAATGGCATCTTCTTTAACTGTAGTGGTCATGACTGAAATATAAAACACTATCAGTCCCTTTATAGCATATTGCTGTAAAGGGACTGATAGTGATTATTCATTCAAGATTATCTCACAAGTCCCTGCTATGAAACCAGAAGTCCATAGAGTGTTAGTGTTTTTTCCTATTAAGTAATTCTGACGTAGCGTTTCCTGTAAGCCTCTTGTCCATTAACATTTAGTGGTTCACTTTGGAGTTTCTAACAGGTGGCTATATCATGTCCAGATGATTCAGAGGAGGAAGCTTTCTTGCAGAAAACTGATTTTGCAAATGTTTTATGAGGAAGCAAAATAAAATGCAACACATTCAACACATTTTCGGTTGTAAAATGGAATGTAAACTTTTGATTGTTTACCAGAAAACTCCACAGGGGGCTTTTGTGTTCTCTCCCAGATCGGTAAACTCTGACAGAAACAAAAGGAAGCAATTACAGAATGCAAATCCAGTGAACGACTCAAACGCTGATGAATAAATATATTTGATATTATGGTGATGAAATGCAGCTTTAAAGCTTTCCCATTGTTACTTTTGTTGCTATTCATGCTTTCTCTACCATTTTAAAAATAAACGCTTGAGATTTTTTAAATGTTTTAGATCTTCTGTGTTATTCCTAAAACTTCAATTACTTATGTAAAAACTAAGCTCTACGTTCAGAATAATGACATTAAATTGCAGCCTTTTTTGAGAATATTTAGCCAGGTTTGATTCAACAGTTTCTGTGGCTTTGTTGGTTTCATTGGAAATCGTATACTTATATTGGCACTTTTGTTTCAAATGTTTTCACAGTATTGTAAGTAAAATCACTCTTTTTTTAATGCAATGAGCCAAGGCAGGCGACTTTGAAGGAAAAGAGGCTGAGAAAGCAGAGAAAGACACACACAGTGGGAGCAGAATTTTTCACTCTGCTTACATTCTTTGTATCGATTCAGAAACATTTACATGGGAAGGTTCACATTAGATTTTGCCAATAAATCTTTGAGGGTAATGCACAGAAACAATAAAATGATCAAAGACAAAAATAATTAAAGGTCAGATATAAAGATATGCATTAATAACCAGCCCAAAAAAAATGGAAACATCAGTAACCCCATCCGGTTTCCTGCACCAGAAATATGTGACGCTGCCACGATACAAAAATGAACCTGGGAAATAATATTCACAGGTACATTCCCCATTTAAAAACTCTTTCTGTCTTTGATGCAATGCAGTCCAATTATAGTCCGATCAACCCAGGTCTAGTCTTGCTCCTCTTCGATCTCCTCTTTTTGAATGGGGAGGTCAGGGTTTCCTGCACCGGTGTCCAGCACCTGCAAGTTGGACAGGTATTTGAAGGAACTCTCATCTACGGCGTCCACAGACAGGGGGTTAAACCTTAAATTAAAAAAACAAGAAGAACAAAAACAAAATCAGATAGTTAATTGAAGTAGTCTTTTAATTACAAATTTTAAAGGCTCAAAGCAAAAAAAACAAAACAATGATCAACAGTCACATCTATAAAAATCTGTACAGCTGAGCATTGAGCAGAAGACTGTATGCTACCCATTCTCTTATTTTAACACCGTCAAGCTCACAGGTGTCCACTGACTTTTATCTAAAACCATGTCTAATGCATATGGAATTTATTGCATTGATCACTGAAAATATTTGCATATGTTGTTCATAAAGTTTAAAAGTTAATTCACTAATAAATATACACAAAGGTCGCCCTTCCACTTCAACAACAGACACAAGCATTCCAGCAGCTTTAAATCGACTCGCGCAAAAGACTCCCAGCTGCAAAGGGATTTGGGTGGAAATAAAAAAAAAATTCTTTTAAAGAGACAAAAAAGTCAAATGTGCCAGCAGCTGACACTAAAAACACGATGAGCCTGGAAGGGTTTAGGACTTGTAAACACTGGCTGTAAAGCAGCCAGCTTGAGGTTATATTTGAAATGAAATCGAACAAAAGCCATGAAAGAGCATGTCGGGAATCTCTTTCTTCTTGACTGACCGCTGTTTCAGCTGCAGGGCTCATGGGTATTAGCCTGCACTCTGTGGAATAAACCAAAGAGGAAAAATTTGCTGAATGCACACAAGTTAGCGGAGATGGGGAGATTAGATACCCCGCTGCAGTACTCTGCAAAATGAAACTGAGTCAGAATTTTCAACACATAGCAAATTTTACTGATTAGTAACAGACTAGAGAACAACATTGTTTCTGAAAATGGTTTATTTTTGTGAAGTAAAACCTATTCAGTTAGAATACATATTTTTTAAAATGATGAAAAGGGAAAAATCTAACAATGCAAATTAGCTTTAAAGTGTTGGATCAAAATTTAGATATCGACCAAAAAAAAAAACCTGTGAAAGTTTGTTTTTTTTAAACTATTTTTTCCCCTTGTGATTAGGGGAGCAGCTGAAAGTACCTGTGTTTTACATTATAAAACAATGAAAGCTATGAACAAGACTTTTGTTTCTATGCAGGAAGCAAAAGAGTGTTCTAAATTGTAGATTCTTCAAAGTAAATTCCCACTTTTCGCACATATGCTGAGCACTTTTTTGTTACTCTTCTTTCACTCTGCTGTCCAACCGTATCATTGATTTTAGGTTGTGATCAGACGCAGTTTTATTGCTCTGTCTCTTGGTCAAACAGCCCTCTCAGAGCCTTGCTGTGTTGTTTTTCTCATTGTTCCATTAAAAAACCAGATGGGACGCCGTGTCACCGCAGGATGTTGTGGTCATTGTCATGAGCAAAGCTCCTGCCTTCATACTTTGTGTTGCAAACACATGTTGATACTATCGGTTCTCTCTGTCTCATAAACACACTGCAGCTGGAGCCAAAAATCTCACATTTGGACTCTTCAGATCAAAAGTCCAGATTTCCTCTGGTCTTTTCAGCGACTCAACCATGAAGAACTGATTTCACATAGTCTGCTCATTTCTGGTTGAGATGTGTCTGTAGCATGACCTCTGTAAAGCATTAATGTAGCCTCTAATCTCAGGAGCTTTTAAGTGCTGATTTTTAAGGCTGGCGACTCTAATAACACTTTCCTTTCATTTGATGTTTTTATGACTAATGTTGAAGAAACTATAAAAGTTCAGAGTTTCAGAGAAAATTCAGAAATACCAGATCCAGATATGGAGGGTGTTTTGACTGCACTGTCTTTAAACAGTAGAATAAATTAAAATATGTTATACGGGGTGTATATGAGGTGATCCAATCTATTGTAATTTCCTTGCATGTTCTTTAGGAAACTGCCTATGCAGTAATTATGAACAATAATGCTGCGTCTGAAACTGAACATCTGGTATGAAATCAGTGTCAGATGTACACACTACACACCTTTTGTATGATGTTCCTCTAAAGAACAGCTGGTAATTAATTTGACACTTGATAATTCAGGCTTTTATTTCAAACTTAATAAGATTTTTTCTGAAAAAGATTTAATGATGATGAAGATATTTTTGTTCTAGGATCAGTGTACATTTTTTTAGAAAGGTTATTTAACAGGGGGGAAAAAAACAAACAATTACTGTGCATAAAAAAATGAGTGCAAAATAGTGTTGATATATTGCATTTTGGGTTAGGGGTTTTTTGTTTGTTTGTTTTTTGCAAAATGGCTCAATAAAGCCCAGATAATGTTTTGGTCAAAGAGGATTTTAAAAAACTCAAGACAAAGACATCACATTCATGTTGTAGCCACACAAGGATCAAAGCTTTTCATGTATTGTGGATTGTTACAGCTACTTTTTGTCTTGCCAAGAACTCAGTTTCATTTAGCTGTTAAGCACAGCTCATAATCTTATCAAATGTTTCCATTTTTGGACTTTATCTATTGTTATCTTTATTTTCATTGACATACAAATTTGAGATGTGCGCAAACAGATGATTATACTCTGCTGTCCTCTCTAGCCTGCATAGAAATATTAGTCAGTAAATGATTCATAATATATCAAAACTTGAGAAATGTTGGCTCTTGATGATAAGATGTTAAAGAGGCTTGGCAGACAGCAGAACCTGTCTCTTTGCAGCAGGAGGTTGCAAACAAGTTGCACAGTAAGACAAATGACAGCCATGTAAAGAAACATCGGTCTGTGGTAATATTTTCTAGGACAGGAGTGTCAAACCTGCCAGAAAGTCTAATCCATACCACTGCAAAATCCAAAAACTGCAGCCTGTCATCAATTACTCCATGTTTTATATCTCCATTATTATAAAATATTTTTACTGGTTCAGCCGACTTGAGGTCAAAGTGGGCTGCGTGTGGCACATGAACTAAAAAGAGTTTGACACCTCTGTCCTAGAAAATGGGCAGATGTATGTAGGCTGTTAGAGTGAAGTGCCACTCGACTGGATCAATCTGTAACCACATCCTACACAAGTGCAGACACGTTAACCTGCAAGCAACCTGCAATTCCCCAAACCAATCAGACGCTGTGTGAGTGTGCTGTCGACACAGCAGTATTTAAGATAACGATGAATGTGATTAACACTTTCAACTGACTGGAATTTTTGCACAAACAATGTTTGACACGATGTTCAGTTTTCTCACTGCTGCTGTTTAGTAATTTTATTTTTTCATGTTTTTCTTCATGTTTTCATTTTCTTTATTTTTTTATAGTTCTGTTTTGTTTTGTCTTTTACTATAAGTTGGCTGTGCATATTAAAGGATTTTTTTTCTTGTCCTGTCCAGCAGTTTAACGTCGGAATTGTTGTCTGAAGGCCAAAAAATGCCCAGCAAATTTACTTTCACAGGTGTAGCATTACGATATTCACTATAATGGTCCACCTGGTCGTCATATTTTACTAGAACTTTTTTTTTTTTTGGATTATTACAACCATAACAGACAAGACTGGGGGACAGAAACAAAAAAAGAAAGAAAATAAAGAAATGTAACAGAAGGAGAAGGAGAGAAAAATAAAGGGGAAGAAGAGGGATGAAGAGAGAAAGGAACCTGCCAGGTGCCCGACAGAGGCAGGGAGCCTCTGGCGGCAAAACAGCACACACCTAAACATTCAAACCCCGGACACCGAAGACCACCAATGGCGGCAGGTGGGGGCACCAGCCACTGGCATGGATTGTGGCGTCGGGAAATAGGCCCCACACCTGGTCCCCCAGGCCTGGCATGTTCTAAGAGAGAGGGAGAGTCTAAGACCTGACTTGACACATAGACAAACAGTCATACACAGGTCTTGATGCATGCTCAATCATCCAGGTAAGTAAATCTCCAAAAGTTTATTCTGTTCATCTGGACGTAACGTTTTCAGTGGGAGAAATGTTTCATCACTCATCCAAGTGGCTTCCCCAATCTTATAAACAGTACATTTGCATAATGACTGAAACTAGCACCAATCACTGGCCCACCCAACCCCACTGCAGAGGAAAGACTACACCCAACCCCAACCCAACATTCAGTCAACTCCCAGACTACATAAAACAATAGACACCCAGGTTGAGCCCATCCTCCACCTCTGGTAGATCCCCCCTCCTGCAGAGTGATCTCCTCAAAAGTATAGAGCACCTGCAAAACATGGTAAAAACCTCCCTGCCAGCTAAAGGGGCCTCCAGTTCCACCAATGCACCGAATCCTCCTGGGCCAGGGACAGGCCCCAATGCACGCACCAACCCAACTTCCACTAGATGATGGAGCCAATCAAAGGAGCTCAGAGAGATTGGCCTGATGCAGCGGCAGAGGCTGTCTCAAGACTGATATGATCCGACAAATGGTCTCTATATTGGTTTTAAGGTCTCTAAGATTATTTTCATTTGTCGAGTTCATAAGGACAGTCTTCTTAGTGATGCATAAGGTGGCGAGAGCCATGTGGACTGTGTTCATCTCCATAGTGACATCATCTAGGCTGCCCAAAAAGCAAACTAAAGGGGAGGCTGGAATGTTACATTTTATACACTTTGATAAGTCTTCACATATCTGGCACCAAAACCTCTGAACTGGTGGACAGAACCAAAGAGTGTTGATGTAATTGTCAGGTGTATTGCCTTGACGGTGTGACCATGGTGCACTCTATGTAGTATTTTGTATTTTATTAATTGTAGATTGGGGTTTCTAATCATTTTAGAGGTTTTTAAACATGTCTGATACCAGAAGTTGTGGTCAGAGCTGGCTGATAGATCCGCCTCACATTTCACAATAGGAAGCGATAATGACTCATCTGTTTTCAACAGTGTTTTGTATATTTTAGATAAGAATTGTAATTGATTTAATTAGGCGAAAATTCCTTTATTAATATAGACTATAATTTGTTGGTCTAAAAATCTACTCTTGTTAATCCCATATTGTAATACTAATATGTCAAATGAAATTAAATTTATTCATTGAAATATATATTCCAAGAACTCTATTCCTTTACCTGCAATCTTTGAAGTCTAGCATATAATTTTTTTGTAAGATGTCAGAGTTGTTCCAGATAGGTTAAGATTATATATTAATATATATATTCATATTATATTAATGCTTAATCTTAATATTTATGCTTTTAAAGCATACAAGTCATTTGAGCTAATGAATATTAGGCCCGAAATCTCTACATTATTACATAGTGCCTATTCTATGTCTAGCCGCGGCTCATTTGGAGGCTAAGTTTTAACAATCTTGAGATGTATTGTAGCGTGTTGGCTAAGAAGTAGTTGTGAAAGTTAGGCAGATGTAGTCCTCCTCTTGGTCCTATGTAGAGCCAAGTCTAAAACCGCAGCCTTGCCCCAACTTTTTAACCAATCATGTTAACATTCTGTTTTTATGACAAATAATAAAAGTGTTTACTGCCTGGATTTGGTGCTCTTTTGTTCGTTCGGTTTGCTGAATGGAGGAAGAGACGCGGCATCATTATTAATCTAAACCTTCAAAAGCGTATTAAATAGAGGAAAACAAATACTTTGAGTTTGGATGAACCCAACAGTTTCGAAAACCAAAGTTGCAAATAAAAAGTTCCATTTAACTCTATAAATGCTTTTTCTGTATCTAGAGACAATTATGTAGTTTGTTTTTACTGCAAGAACAGTCTATTAAATTAAGTAAGCTACATGTATTTATTAATGAATGCCTCCCTGTTATTAAACAAGTTTGGTCAGGAAGTGTTATGAGGGGTGCTATCTTCTCTAATCTTTTTCAGAGGGCTTTGTAGATTATTTTAAGGTCAATATTAAAAAGGGATATTGGATGAAAACTGATGGGAAATACAGTGTCTTTGCCTGGTTTCAGGCTTGACTGGCTGATAATTTTGGAATGGTTATGTTATCAAGAAACTGATCAACTTCATCTTCCGATGGGTTTACCTCTGGTGAATATAAAGTTTTTTTTAAAGTCCCTGAATGTGTTGTTTATTCTTTCAGGATCATAAACTGTATTCCCAGTTAAGTCTTTCACTGGAAATACAGGGAATATTTTGTTTCTTGTTAAAATTTTTGCAGTGGAAGTCTTTGCAGTAGAAATATTCTTTTTTTTTTTTAAATCCAAATTTGATTTAATTCTAGTTTTGCTTTACGTATTTTGCTCAACATTTCCTGTTCCAGCGAGGACACACAGGCTTCTTCTAAGGATTTAATGTTTTTCTCTAATTCATGAATACGTTTGTTTTCTCTTTTCATCCCTGACTCCGAGAAAGCAGATGCTGATGTTCCAGGCAGGCCATTATTGTGTAAATATGAAGCCCACTCGTTTTTAAAATATTTAATAAAATCTTCATCTTTAAGTAATGATGAATTAAATCTCCAGTTTGTGGCAGAATGAACTTGATGAAATAATTCAGACGAGAGTAAGAGTGATGGACATGTGAGAAGAAAGTATATTCCCGACATGCAAGTTCATCTGCAGCTGTGGCAGATCTATGAGTCGCTTGTAGTAAGACAACGGTTTTTTTTTAAGCTGGTTAAATATCTTCTACTTTAAAGTCGTTCTTCTATTGCACGAGTATCCTACCCCCAGTGAAGATCAATGCATTTGGAAAACAGATTTGTGCTTGAAGGCCTATGCTTGAACATGTAATGCAATAAAACAGCTTTTGCAAACAAGTGTTTAAGAGTTTAATTCATCCTGGTGTTCCCTGTGCAGAGAACAGGTGACATCAGCAGTAACGGGGCCATTTCAATGGTTTAAGAGTGTGGAAGAGGCTTGTTAGCAAAACTGAGGATAAAGCAGATCTAGTACTTCTAGATGCTTCTGCTTCTTCTGTTCAGTTTTTATTGTTTAGAGCTGAAGTTTAATTACATCAATATGACTCAGTTTTTATTATTTTTTGATCTCTAATTTACAGGTTTGAGCAGCTGGAAGTAAATGCATATTTTAATCCATAAAGAAAATTGTTTATCCACAGAAGCTGTTGTTATTCATGTTGATCTTAAAGTATTTACTGGCTAAATTGGGTAAAAGGGTTTAAAGTTGTCTATTTGGGGTTAAAGAAATAAATAAATCAGGGCATGAAAATATACAGCTAAAGACTAAATATATTTACTTTACTTGTGAGTCCCTTACCGGAGGAAGATGCCTTTGATGTTGGGAGTGCCTTCAAAAGCTGAACCATGAATACTGGAGATGCGGTTGTTTTGCAGGTAAATGTATTCCAGAGACTCGGGTAGGTCAGCGGGGATGTGTGTCATTAGGTTACCAGACAGGTCCAGCGTCTAAAAATTAAAGATGCATAATTAATAACAAACCTCCTGGAAAATTTAGTCTGTATCAAACCATTAGCCCTACTTATCTGGAATGAATCATTCTTGGAATGAATGAGTCATTCCCAGAATCATTACTTTCAAATTTCGCATTGCAGGTTTCTGCCATTGCTGGCAGTGTTATTGTGCTGCCTTATATTTTGGCGAAGACTATGGCAAGCATATTGTCTTGTAAAAATTGTGATGGAAAAATTGTTATACAACAATCTATTTAGGATCATTGAATGGTTTTTGCCAGCTGCAGCAATTCCTTAGATTTTTGACTGGGGTTATATCCCAGTAAATATTTCCATTTTTGTCAACATCAAGTTTTAAATAGAAAGTTCCCATTGATAATGTTACTGTAAATGTAAACGTAAACAATATGACCAGTCTTGACTTTTAATTTTATAACATCTAAATCCCTAATGTCCAACCAATAGCCACTTTGCTTGGTATAAAAAAATTCTATGTTTGCCCTTTTCTGCACCATACCAAACTGTCATTTAGTGAAAGATCAGGGAGGAACCTAGTACTAAACCTTTATAAAGTTCCTAAATATTCAGATTCATGCAGTATACAAACATCATTGCCAAGCTTTTTTTTTTTCAGTGACTATCCCACTTGTGTCACTTCCACTCACTGTGAGCGCAGTGAGCTCCATCCAGGCTCCCTGGTAGACTGAGTTCAGTTTCAGCTGGTTATCACTCAGGATCAGCTTTCGTAACTTCTCCATCTTTGTCAGCGTACCATCTGGTATAGAGTTGATCAGGTTGTTCTTGATTTCGAGCACGTGCAGACTGCGAGGAAGGCCCCTGGGCATTGAGGTAAGGCTGTTCCCCGACAGGTCCAGGGTTTCCAGCAGACGTAGCTTCCTAAAAGCCTCACGTTGCATCTTGGGGCTGGTAAGCTTATTGTAGCTGAGGTTGAGTTCTATCAGCGTGTACAACAAGGTTAAGTCGTTGCGGCCAATTTCAGAAATAGAGTTATGGAGCAGCATTAAGGTCTTTGCTCGCCGAGGCAAGCCTCTGGGAACACGCTCCAGCAAATTGTTGTGCATGTGAAGAGTGTGCAGCTTTTTCAAGCCCTAGTGAAAAGCAAATTTAAGATTTCAAATGGGTGATCCACTGTTGCATAATGTTCATTGCCATGCTGTTGTACAAATTACTCCTTCCAACTTGTCCTTACAATTTAAATTGGATCATTTATATCATCCATATTTACCTGGAAGGCAGCTGGGTGGATAGAACGGGAACGAAGTTTGTTATTGTGGAGGAGCAGGTATTCAAGATTTCGGGCTGACGTTAGAGCATCTCCAGGGATACTGCGGATGTCGTTCTTCTCCAAGTGTAGCAGCACAAGACTGCGAGGGAGACCCTTTGGGACAACGCTGAGGTTGTTATTTGACAAATCCAAACACTCAAGGCTGCTGAGTTGGCTAGAAGCAAAGAAAAGGAAGGATATGATGTTGTCTTTGTAGAGAATTTGCCCTTGAAAGGATAGTTTTGATATTTACACAGCTGGCAATGGCAAGATGTTGAAATCTGTTTATCGATAAACTTCATGAGTGAAGATTTTTGTCCACCTGAAAGTCTCATTGTCCATGCCCTCATTGCTGAGAAGGTTGTTCTGAAGATATAATTCTCTGAGATTGGGCAAGCTGTCAAAAGCTCCTGCTGGGATTTTCTCCAGCTTGTTTCTCTGTAACAAAAGAATATTAACATTGTTAATGTAAGGTGGAATCACAAAGTTCAGCAACTGCACCCACAAAAAGAAGAAATCATAGCTGGGTTAAATTTGACCAACCTCCCTTGATAGGTAGAGCCTTTTGGTTACCTGCACCACTTCAAGTGTTGCTTTTTATGCAATTTTCTGAAAGTAGTGTTCTGTCTATCTGCACTGCAGATGTACTGAGACTGGATCTGCTTAAAGATGAGAGCAAACATCAAGTTCTTTTTTCAAAATGACCTGATTTTATAGTCAAGGATTGTCTGGAATGGAAAGCTGGAGACCAAGGAGAAGTTCTTAATCAAAACGTCCAGTGTCAAAGTTCAAAAGAGGCACACCAGGAGCGCTTGTTTTTCTGTGACATTTACTAAGTTTTTCACTATGATATCCTCTCCCTGGGACGGTCAACACAGAATTGTACTGTGACATTGTGTGGGATGTAGTATAGGCAACATTGTAAACTGGAAAACAGTTTGTTGAAAACAGACATGCGCAACACAATTTTTGCTCACCTCCTGCTCTTTTTGCCTGAATTTGACTCCTGCTACTTCAAGTTAAAGGGTCGCTGGTTGAAACATGGGAAAAAATGTCTGTAGCCAGGTACACACAAAAATACACATGAATATATATACTACCTGTCAAAAGTTTTATAGCACCCCAATTACCAGTTTTTTATTGGAAATGACGCAGTTTAATGTCTCATTGCACTCTGAAATGAAAGAAAAGTACAAATAAGAAATTGGAGTTAAAAAAAACTTATGCAATCAATTTATAGAGAAAAATGTATTCTAAACTTTTGACCCTTCAAAGTAGCCACCTTTGGCAGATATAACAGCTGAACACACCCGTGGCCTTCTTTCTACAACAGAAATCAAATATTCTTCAGAAAGTTCTTCCCATATCTGTTGCCAACGTTCCCATAAATGTGTGGCACTTGTAGACTGCTTTGCTTTCACACTTCTGTCCAGTTCATGCCAGACCAGCTCGATGGAGTTTAATACCAGAGATTGTGCTGGCCACTTCATATTTTCAAGCTTACCATCTTCTTCTTTTTACCTCAGGGTAGGCATGGCTTGGACTTGTTTTGGGTCATTATCTTGCTGCAGGATGAACCCCTGACCAACTAGGCGCATACCAGTGGGTACTGCATGGCGCTGCAGAATGCAGTGGTAGATTTTGGGTCGGGGAGCTTCACACTCTATACAAGTCTTCCAGTCCTCAGTAGTCCAATGGTGCCGTTTCATGGTCCAGGCAAGTCTCTTTGTCTTATTCTGTGATCTTAGCAATGGCTTTCTTTCGGCAACGTGTCCTGTCAAACTCACAGCACAAAGTCTTCTCTTCACAGCTGAAGCTGAGACTTGCTTACTATGACCACTATTAAGCTGTGCTTGAAGCTGTTGCACAGTGAGCCCCCTATCACGCAAGCTGTTAACTCTCCGAAACTTGACGTCTGCTTCAGGTGTGGCTCTGGGTCTGCCAGACCTCTTCCTGTCAGAGTTTGCCTCAGGTTCTGAGTGCCTTTTCATGGTGAAGGAAACTGTACTTACTGACACCTTAACTTTCTTTGCAATTTCTCTGTAGGAAAGACCTACACGTCTGTCTTCCATTGTTAATTGCCTTTTTTATTACCATTTTAGTAGCAACACACACACTACTGTCTGCAGTACAATACTGTTCAACTGATGCTCACAAGGGTATGGTACCACAGTGTTTTCCAACACTGGGGTTCTAAGTGATCAAGAAAAGTTAGAACATTTGTAGGAATTACTTGCACCAGTTTTCAAGGCTTGGTCAACCTCCGTTGCTGCAGAACAGCTTTACATTGTTAACCCATTTTGTGTTCCCTTAAAAAGGCTTTTTTGTACAGTTCTGAAATGTACATTAATTTTCCGTTTTAGGTAACCTCACCTTTTTTTATAACCCCTGGCATTTCACCACTTACCTTTGTACCATTTCAAGATATTAATTGGACTTGAATAACTTGAACTGCAATAAATAACTGAAAAAATTGGGGTGTACTAAAACTTTTGACCAGTAGTGTATGTGCACATACCATAGATATGTAAAGCACTTGAAATGTTGCAGTGATGCCCAAGGTGACTACCTACAGGCCAAATTTAATTCTGCATTTTTATGTACAAAGCTTTAGTTTAGGATTACATCTGTACATTTATGAATTATGAATTAAACAAACATCTTAAACCCACTACTGTCCAAGTATAATGCGATGTTAAACCTTCAGATGAAGACGGTAAAGAGTCGGAGGCAGGTTCTTGGGAACAACCCTCAAGAAGTTGCTAGACATGGTTAGGATCTCCAGGTTGTCAGAAGCATTGAACATATGTTCAGGGAGACCTGCATCAGTCAGCTTGTTGTTATGGAGATACACAGACCTGGGGACCACGACCATGAGACATGTGTTAACTGAGTAACTAAAGGAATCTGGGGTGAATTTACACAAACATGCACATCTCTTACCTCAGTTTTGGCTTATGACCAAATGTATATGGAAAGATCCTTGTAAGCTGATTAGCAGCGAAATCAGCACTGACCAAAGAGGGGGGCAGGACCTTTGGTGCTAAGGTGAGCTGCAAGCACAAAAAACCATGACAGGATATGATGTTGAGCATTTTTAATTAAATTATCAAGCGATATGGTTTGCTGGGAAGTTATTTGTACTATCAGCCCAAGAATATTGTGCTCCAGTTTTAGTGAGTATGATCCTTGTATTTTATTTGAATATTATTTATCAACCCATCTCTGTGCAATGCACCCATAGATTATACATCCACCTTACTGACAAAGCTTGCTAGCACTGCCTGATCCAAATACTGTCAGTGGTCAAAACATTATGTCTCTCATATATATATACCCACCCTACCAGTGACAAAGGCCTCTGATAATATAATCAGTGAGACACACACAAACCCCTGACCACGATAAGGTGGCAATTCATGGAGGGGCTTCCCCAAATTAATATGACACAATTATTAGTGTGCTAACAAGAAAACACACTTAAGATAATGATCACAGATCTCACTAAATATTTTACTATGCTTTGAAGATTAAACGATCATTTCTATTTATTTTATGCTTTTAACGTCTTTCCCGGTCATGTTGTTCTATGGAGCTGTTGCACTTGAAATGACAAGCCCTGCAAAATTATATCCATACAGTATATATTGGGACAACTACAGCAACGGGAAATCTCTAAAAAATAGAGATATGGCATATCTGAAAATGTTAATGTGCATAGTGTTTGGTCCTATGGGTTGTTCTGTAAGGCTCAGTAATTCTATTTTTTGATACAAGGACTTATTGAATACTTATTTGTTTTGACACAGGCATGCTGTCATCCCAAATATGTGTGTCATAAAAGCCATGTTTTCCTCATTTTTGTCATCCCCTGCTAAAAACTAACACTACAGTGTACACAATAACAGGAAATTGAAAAATGAGAGAAGCATCGCTGAGATTAGATGTTCATTTATGGATTAAAGTAGCATCGGTGTCTTTAAAGATTAGCGAGAATTTAAAAATCCTCTATTCTTTTCGGATCCTATGTTGTGAGGGCACAAATAAATCCATCCATCCTTTTTCTCTTGTTCCCTGTGACTGAAAGGTCAGTAACATTTTAGCTCCAAACAGATGGCACAGCCATACTGGAAGAGATCACAAGCATAAGCTTGTACACACTATATGAGCAGCAACTATACAACCTCCCTCTGTTAGCTGACACTGTCAGTCAAGCAGAACACAGCTGAGAGAAATATCTAAACTCCCGCTGTATGACTCACCTTGTTATTTGCCAAGTATAAATAAGCCAGTTGTTCGAGCATCTCAAACCCTTCATCTTCAAGGCCTGTTGAAAAGAAACAAGGATTTTTGACACATTGTTCTTGACTTACACCCTTTAACAGAATAAAACATATTTACCAGACATGTATCACTTGTCAGTTTTGGCACTGGTCCCAAAATTGACCAGAGGAAATTTTTTTTAAAAGAAATGGTATTAGTTGCAGGTTTATCGATCATAAGATTGTGGCTTATGTGCTGTTTGGACCTTTGTGCTTTGCAGTTTTGGGGGGTTTTGTACACTCATTGTTTACTTTCACATTCACCCACTTGTTAGGCACTACAAACCAGTTCATTAGGGTTTGGAAAAGACGGTGGTCTTTCTTTTTGATAAATTATCATTTTAGAGAGACTCCCTAATTACATGACATCAGCAACTTTGACAAAATGGTGCTATTTTTGCCTTGGGAATCAATAATATCCTGTTTTGTTTCAAATTGATGTATGTTTATGAAAGCCGGAGGTGTATGCACAATTAAAATCGTTTGAACTTGCTGAATTTTCTACCAGTTTGTAAGCAGTTTGGGATTTCTGCTTGAATTTTGTGTTTTTCCACGGGCCACCGTGACAGACTATTAATTAAGTAGGAAAAGGTTCAGGCACCCAAGAGGGTGGTTAATCATTTTAAGTAAGTAAATGAATATTTTCTGATAGTTAGTTTGAAAATGTGTTAAAATATTTTGATCAAAACAAACACTTTTGTTAGACAGATACCACATGGTAACCCGGATCTTTTCCATTGTGGCACTTTGATCTTACATTTACCAAAAAGGGTTCCATTACGGCAACATTTTTTATTCAACATTAGCAATAAAACCAGAAGCCAGCTGCTAGCACAGCTGGCTAGGGACAGAAAAACCATTTAAGCAGTCTGTTCATGTTAACAGCAGCATGATCCAGAATAATATTAACCAATATTTATGGAGTTAGACCAATGAGACCATCACAGGAGAATACAGAGGCTGGGCCAGTAGGAGCAAACAGTGGGCAGATGTGACGTTTGGTTTTTTGTCTCTGTTGGCAGTGCAAAGTAAAAACTGAGCAGACAGCAGCAGGAAGGTTGCTGGAGTATTAAAGTTACACTGTGATAGAACAAAAACCCTAACTTTAGCTAACTGTAGCTACTTGACATAGTCAAACAGCATTTTGTTAGCAGTGTCTGAATAACAGTAAGGACCACATCTCCATCCAGCTGATCTAAGTGAAATTGGTAAGTTTACAATTAATTGCCCCTTGGAGATAAATAAAGTCTTTCTGATTGGGATTTTGATTCTGACATCTTTAATATTCTGCAGCTGTAAGCATCTAATCAGTTATTTATCTGGCATGCTAAATGTAGAACTGCTCTTTTTCCTATAATTGTTTGTTCAAGTGTTCAACAACTGAAGATGCAGGATTTGTGTTATCTATTTATCACTTGTAAGATAAGGAGCAGTTCCTCTCCAGCTTTCTCTAGCTTAATTTTCAGTCTCTCTTTTTTTTCTGAGGATAATATGGCAGATATCTATAAATTACATGGCTTGCTGCGTGGTACAGCTGCCAGGTACAGCCAGTACAAGAAGTTTGTGCTTCATGTTTGGTGAGTAAAGTTACTGTATTTTATTAGTTGCTTACTTAGCAATAAGTAGCAAATGTGTGTCCAATACACCTGAACAGTTTATAAATCCAGCTTGCTAGCATTAGCCGATAACTTAGCACACCATCTTACTGTGCACCAGAACCTTGACATGACAGTCTAAAACCAGCTTTATGGTCCCTATAAGACAGTAAACTTTTCCAAATTTGCAAAACTTGTTCTAGATCAAGGCTAAGACTTTTTTCTTATGTTCCCATTAATTGTTATTCATTTCATGAATGTGCCTTTCAGCCGCGAGGACCAGTTGTTAGAGGAAATGAACAAAACAACTGCATTTCCTCTGCTGCATTCAGGTTTATTTTGAAGGTATTTTGGTACCATAAATAGTTAGTCAAATTATAGATACTTAAACCAAGGCCAGACTAACTAGTAATCAAAAATTGCAGACAGGCAAAAGCTCTAATTTCTACAAAATGGGTCAACACAGATCGACATCTGAGAATGAAAAACACAAAAAACAAAAGGAATTCGACAGGGCCTCAGAAAACAACCTCAAAAACATGTCTTGTAAGCTGTTCCCACTTTGAACAGCAGGTTCCTGCTGAGTGTTTAGATTGTGTGACAGTGTTTACCATCTGAGGTGAGCCAGTTATTCTGAAGATTAAGAGTCTCAAGCTGATGCAGATGGGAAATATGCTCGACCGTTATCTCCTCGATCTTGTTGTTCTAGCATCAGAAAACACAACACAGATTGTAAATGCAGGATTCCAAACTTTGGTTTTGTGTTGGTATTTATGGGAGTACATGAAAGACCTGTAGAGAGAGCTGGCGGGTTTGTTCCGAGAGCTTAGCGGGGAACTCGATGAGGTTGACTCCGGGGCAGTCCACTACCCTCTCTGCTGTACAGCTGCAATCCTGCGGACAGATTTCCGGCTCAGATTTCGTCACCTCTGTTGCAGTTTCTGTTTCCTCTGTTGGCTCTTCCTCCTCCTCTTCCTCTGGTTCAACAGAGGCCTGGCACTGCACCAACACCCAGGCCAAGAGCAGCACACTCAGGGCGTGCAGGATGGAATGCTTGAGAAAGGCCATCTCTCCTGTTGCACAAGAACATGGATAGTAAAGTTATAAACATCAGGTCAGTGAGTATTTTTTTTCCTGGAAACAGGACCTCACACGCTACAGTCTTTGGCTATTAAAACAGTCAAACATGGTTACAATAAAAATACCGTCTTAATTCAGCTAGATGTGCCATGCCATGTATTTTGTTCTTTATTGTTCTTTGTTCACTTTAGTTTACTAGATTTCCCCTCGTGCTTGTACCCCCTTTGTCCCCCTCCACGTATCTGTGAGTCCCCACGCCTCGTTCCTCCTCCTCGTGTTTTATTTCATGTTTTCCCCAGCCTGTTACGTCTCTGCTCTCCCCGTGTTCTCTCCTCCCCTCCTGTCTGCACCTCTGTGTACTTCCTGTTTTACTTTGACAGTCTCCTGTCAGTATGAACCTAAACTGGGAGATTCAAAAGGAACTGACTCACGAGGAAACACACGGACGGGCACACAGTCATGAGGGAGACGGGGACATAAATACACAGAGGATTAACGAGAGACATGGGAACACAGCTGACACAGATAATCACAACGAGACAGGGCCTTTAACTTCTGTCAGCAATAAAGCTGTATTTTCTATTTCCATTTTCAATTTAATTGGATAGAATTTATTTATATAATTTATATTAAAAAAAACATTTACTTATATAATGACAAAAATTAAAATAAATACTAAAGTTGAAGTTGAGCAGCCCTTGTAACAGTTGGGAGGAAAACCTCTATTTCAACAAGAAGAAACCTCCAACATAACTAGACTTAGGATGAGAGCATGTCTTTAAGCTCTATCAACAGATGATGTAAGGAAGGTTTTTTTAACAGAAAACTTTCCTTTTTCCACGTGTGACCCAGTTGTAATCGCAGTTCATTGACCAGTCAGGTTTGAGCAGAAATTGGTTGCATGCAGATAAACAGTCTGTGTGGAGAGCAAAAAGAGGAGTCCAACTGCCAAAATATGATGTCAAAAACCACTGGCTGCTGTCTGAAAACAGTTTAAATATATCTGCATTCATAAACACCATGCACCACCATGATCATCATCTTGATCTGAGAAACTGGCCTGCTCACATGCACTCCATGAATCGACTTTGAGTTTTTAGGGTGAGGTAATCAGATTCTTGACACCACTACAAAGAAGCAGTTGTTATATTGTGAGGAAAGAAAACAACAGGCCAGCGAATCTATAAATCTATACCTGCAAATTTACCATCCAGTCCAGCAGAGAAACAACTTGTGAATTCATAGATTCAAACTTATTTTTTCAAGTAGCAGATTGTTTTGTGGTCACTAAATAAACTACACTGTGAGAGTTAAATCTCTGCCATCATCACACATTCTCTGGTTTCGTTTTGACTGCATCATTTCAAAGCTCTGGAAAAAGATATCAACAGCTGAAGAGAAAAGAAATTGCTTTCTTACTGTATGTTTCCTGTATTGAACACCTCTTGACATTTCTTCCTGGTGAAAGACAACTGGCAACCTGACTGATCCTAAGTGAATGACTAAAAGATAAGAAAAAGAGCCCTGCTTCAAGAAGGTGTGATGACTATATATGATACATAAGCTGAAAGGGGACTGTAGATTTTAACACCAAAATACAATTAAAAGTAAGAAGTACGTTCAGTGTGTAAAACAGCTGTATAATTGCGCAGCTGTTTGCAGCCTCTGTTGCAGCACACAGGGGCTGCTGAAATGCATAAAAAGAATATTGGGAATCTGTGTGCACAGTTTGTTAAACCAAGCAGAAAAGCATCTCTGCAGAGCACTGCAGATTTCTCAATCAGTGGGATTTCCACCACCAGTGTGGTTGGCTTAACCCTAACACAAACACATGTAATGGTTGTGGAAAGCCATCTCATATTCTGCAGAGACTTCTACTTAAGTTTAGTAGAAAACTCTGGTTCGTAACCTTTTTAGCTCGGGTAGGATTTTAACGAATGTCTATCTTTAAGTCAGCTATTTTCTAATTAGACATGCTGACTAGTAAACAGAACCAGCTGGGAAGTCAGAAACAGTTTGGAGAGGGCAGTCATTTTGAAAACAATACTCACTGCACGAACTATCTTTCTATTGTATTACCTAAATCAGGGGTGTCGAACTCCAGGCCTCGAGGGCCGGTGTCCTGCAAGTTTTAGATCTCACCCTGGGTCAACACACCTGAATCAAATGATTAGTTCATTACCAGGCCTCTGGAGAACTTCAAGACATGTTGAGGAGGTAATTTAGCCATTTAAATCAGCTGTATTGGATCAAGGACACATCTAAAACCTGCAGGACACCGGCCCTCGAGGCCTGGAGTTCAACACTTGTGATCTAAATCAAGCCTGTAGCTGTGACTTCACTGGCCAACAGGCTCTCACAGGACACTAATTAGTACAGCACAAACATGAAGTTTACAGCAAGGTTTAGTTATTATTGTGATCTGGAAGAATTTGCAAAATTCCTTCTGCCTCGTAGGTTTGATCCAGAATAATATATCTTCATAATTAAGGAATGCGTTGTTTTTAAAAAGTTGTGGAGATACTTGTGTTTTACAGAGGATGAATCCCAATGACTTTGTGTTCTTCAAACCTTTGCACTGATTACCATGAAATTTGGTTAAGAAGTCCACGTTCCCCTCTGGATGACCTACAATAACTGTCGCTCATCAAAAGCTTCAGACTGGGTTTAGAGCAAAAATGTGGGACAAAAACTCTACTTTACAAACCAGAGATATGGAATTTGTATAGTGTGTGCATTTGTCAAGCAGCGAGTCATTCTACAATGTGCCTGTGAAGCACATTGTAGAATGACTTTTGATCAGTTATTTAAGAATGATAAATGTTATTCTTTTTAAGAACAAGTTCTCAAAGAGTAAAATTGTGGCTCTGTGCTTTATGCTAAGATATAGGGAAATTAAAAGAGACATTTTTTTCTTCTTTTTTCTGTGAAGTTAATCTGGTTGAATGCTTTTCAGGTCTGACCTAAAGTAAACAATTCAATTAGCCACCTGGAATGGTCATTGTGTTAGCTTGCTTTAGAGATTTCCATCCAGGACAACTTGCAATCTGACCTAATTTTCCTTAGTTTATTAGATTCTTTCCTGGGCCATGGTGCCAGCAGCTAAATAGTAAAAATTTCCAAGCGTGTCTGCACTTGTCAGATCATCTCTCTTCCAAAGTTGGAAATATGTTCTGGAAAATTACTTGGGCTAATTAAGAAGCAAGGTCAGTCTGTGGTGAATTGTGTAAGAGATTCTTCAATCAATCCCAAATCATTGTGCAATGCTGACGTATTCTAAGTTTATCTGTCGTTTTTCACACATGTACAAGACATTGGTGCACATAATGCGAATCATCACTGTTGCTTTCAAATGCTGGCCTCAATTCATCAATTTGCACATTGTATTTCTGTCATGGTCCCTGGTCTGGTTCCAGGGGTTTTGAGTTGCTTTGGCGTTTTGGGATCCTTGTTTATTATAATTTTAATTTCAGCTTAATTTCATTATGATTCTAAAACCTTGTTTTTAGTTCTAGTGACTGTTTTATAATTATTGAGTTCTGAATTATGTCTGCACTTGATTATAGTTATATTATTTATTTGTTTGATGATTCAAAACAAAAAAAAGAATACTTCAAGATCCATTTTGAAGACTCTTGATTGTATGTATCACGTGAGGTCACATACTATTTTAATATTAGCTATACTGCTCACACTGACCTTACAAAAACTGGATTTAAATACTTTGTTTCTTATAAATGAAACAAGATAGAACGCTAACACTATGAAACTGCGCCCTCTGATGTCATTTAAAAAGTTATATGTATTTATCTGCAAGCACTCTTTAGTCCTTGTATTATGTGTCTCACCTGAAAGCAAGATCATTTCAATAATATTAGTAATAATAATAATAATAATAATAATAATAATAATAATAATGACAATTTAGCTTTTTTTGTGAAACTTCCTCCTTCTGTCTTGTCTTTATGTGTTCAGCTCTGATGTTTTTCATCCATGTTTCAGCAGCTCTGATTTTTAATTATGATTGCCGTTCCTTTCCTGTTTTCTTCTGTTTAACTATTTTAATCTTGTTTTGGGGTTTAGTTCTGCCTGTTGATTGTCTTGATTATGTTGAGCTCTGTCTTGCTCCTAACCTGTCTCCACTTCCCTACTCTGCACTGCGTGTGGTAATAGTCCCATCTTCCCTTTGTCCTTTGACAGTGCATCTGCTTATCTAGCATATTCCCTGTTTGGTCTGAATTCATCAGTAAGCCTTTGGATTTCTGCTTTATGGTCATTGTGGACTTTGTTATTTCTGTCTTTGTGTGACTTTCTCCTCGTGTCATCCTCTGAAAACATACTGGGGTTTTCAACTCTGCACTTAGCTAAAAGATCTGCATAGGAAAGCAGGGTTTTTAGCATGACTGGTCTCCCCTGACATTACCTGTCTGTGATATCTTATCTGACAGAAATCTATGGCTAAAATCAGGTTCCTGGCTAAAAATGTGTACTATATTTGAGTTAATGAAAGATCAATTAACACAACTAATTGACAATGCAAAGTCATGCTGGTGATTTTCCTTTGTTTCTGGGTAAAAACAAATTTTCATACACATTTCTTTCTGTACAAGCATATTATTATTGTTGTTATACCTGGCAAAGTATAACCACTTCATTTGAAACATATAAGACAGATAATCAGACTGCACTGACTGAACCTGTAGTGTCCAGATGTGGGTCTTACATCATCCCAATGTTTTTAACTGCATACTACTGTTGTTTTTTCATGCATATAAACAAGATTTATAACTTCATTACAAAGGTTGGTATTTTCAAGATGAAGGAATGTACAAAGAAAAAATCTACACATCAATAAGAAGCTGATTTTATTACAGCAACATGATGTTCAGCTTTGGGTTTAACAGCTGAACATTCAAAACATATCATGCTATGGTACGAAGAGTAAAATGCACTTATAATAAACGTTTACATGAGATGTGCCACTTTGTCAGTTTTGTTGATCATTTTTGTAAACAGTCAGCTGGTGAATCAGTATGAATTATGGGATGGCATTATTGTTAAATGTGTTCTCTGCAGAAGGAGTCAATAATGTATGCAATGAAGAGAGGAGAGGAGAAAAACTCTGCACTCTAAAAAAAACAGGGTAAAATGGTTTAGGTTTGCAAAGCTACATCTGAGCAAACCACAAGACTTCAAGAACAATGTCCTTTGGACAAATGAGACCGTAGTGGACATGTTTAGTCATAACGCACAGTGCCACATTTGGCAACCACCAAACACAACAAATCTGCACAAACACATACCAACTATCAGGCACAGTAATGGAGGGGTGAAGATTTAGACTTGTTTTATACCCGCGGGGCCTTGGCATCTTGTGGTCATTGAGTCATCAATGAACTCCTCTGCATGCCGAAGTAATCTAGAGTCAATTCTAGATAAGCTTGTGCAAGCACAATGAGCCTGAGCACAGCAAATCTACAACATGGCTAAAAAAGAGAAGAATTGAGGTGTTGCAGTGACCCAGAAGTCCTGACCTCAACCTGACTAACATGTTATGGTGGGACCTTAACTCTACATAAATGAACTGAAGCAACATCGTAAAGAAGAGAGTGCCGGGATTGGATGATGTGAGAGACTGATAAAGTCATACAGAAAACTATTACTTCGAGTGACTGGTAAACTTAGCAACACTAAGCAAAACTGACTATTAGACCACACCTCTGGATTTAGGCATTGGAGTCTTGAGACAACATTTCCATCAACAGGCCAAACTGAGCTATATAACTTAACTAAAAGTTAAGCTAGAGTGGGAGTACATTATACATGCTTCCTTTCCAGTGGCCAACAGGGACTAACTTCTGTAATTTATAAAAACATTCAGTTTTACAGAGGTCTATCAGAAAGTAGCTCACAAGCTCACCTGTAACCTCAGTAAACACTTTTTATCTCTAAATTCATAGCTTCAAGTCTTATTGAGTACAATGTCAAGTTAATGTTGTAAATTACAATCGCCATGAAAGACCAAAAAGACACTAAGCACAGCAGTTAGATAATCCCCATGTGTCATGATGTTTTATGTCAAAAGGCTAAGATGGCAACAATAAACACAGTCAACTTGAGGCTTCATAATGGAACTGTCCTAACACATGGCTATGTCCATCATTTATATACAGTCTATACTTTAATCCAAACTTATTGTGTTGAATGATTATTCAAAAACCAAACAACCCTTTCAGATAAAAAATATATTTTTGACATTTAGATACAAGTAGGCTGTTAAATACTGCAAGAAACAAAAAAGAAAGGAATCATTTAACAGTGCATCACAATCCATTATATTTTTAAAGCAATTTCATGGCTAGCATTAATATAAAATGCATCCTTCCACAACCCTTTCAATCCACTAACACTGAGTCCTGACGCACCATTCTGTCTAAAACAAATGAAACTGTGTTATGTACGCACCAGGTCAACAAGAAAAGAGAGACAACTCTGTGTCTGAAACTTCAATCTTCACCAACTGCACGGTCTAGTTAGGAAAAGAACATTTATCACCCATGACAGCTTGATCTTGTTTCATTTCAAATAGTTTTTCAGAAGAACCCCGAAAAATGCAACAAAAAAAACCTCAAACAAAAAACACATCGTGTGGTCTAATCGCTATAGGTCAGCACTGCTTACATGACACTTGTGCTTTGATAAAGCCAGGGAAAATTATCCTTCTAATCATCTCCTCTAATGCTGGCAGAGATACTCCACTCAAGGCAACTCTCAAGGTACAGGTATAAAAGCCATTTATCAGAGGAGCTCTTTCTGCTCGTCACTCCACAGTATTTATCAGAGGAACAGCAGCGCACGCACGCAGAAAACTCACAGTACAGCATGCACACACCCACAGCAAAATGCACTTTGTACGATGTCGACAACAGCCCGAATCAAAACATCAGAGCATCCAGGGGTTAAAGAGGAGTTTAAAGCAATCGAGAAGTTGACAACACTATGGTACCTTATTATTTAGAGACTTGAAGTGAGAACAGCCTTTAGATACTATGCATTTAAAATTTAATTATCTTGTTTTCATGCTGTTTAGCTCGTTCTCAGCAGAGGAGAGGCTGTAAAGTAGTTTGACTGTGCAGATTGTCTAAAATGCAGATACCAGAATGGTCATGCATGGATGAATGACACTCAAAGCTCAGTCTAAGCTCATATAAATGCAACAGCCACCCATAAAACATGCGGCAGTAAAGTCTACAAAGTAAAATGATGGTCTCCTGCTTTACTTTACCCCTTCCGAACAATGTTAGCTGAAACGCACTGAAGTCTGACTTCCAGTTCAAACACAGGCTGTCCCATAGTAGGCTTGGAGTCACACAGCCACTCCAGATACCCTCCAGATGTGAGAGCGAAGTGGGAGTGGGAGAGGGAAAGTTAAGGGAAAGACAGCCAGGCGAGAGTGAAAAAGGAAAGGAGTGAGTAAGAGAGACAGCTCTGACCTGACAGGGAGCCAAAAACACAAATTCTTTCCTTTTTTCTCATTTTTTTCCCCATGTTTCCCTCGTTTTCTCCTCACAGCATGCCATTTCAGTTTAAATGTAATAACTTTGTGCTTTGTTAACTTCTGGTAAATTTGTGTCTGGATTTGACAACAACTAAACAAACTTAAACTGTAAAGCAGTGATTATACATTCAGTGTGTAAAAAAAAAAAATCTTGGATGCACTTGCTCAATCAGTCTAGTTCTCCAGGGCACGCTGATTTGTAAACCAGTGTAGTGCAGACTGCTGATAAGAGCTGCTAAAATAGCTATGAAAATCCAATCTGTTTACAGCGGTGTGCTCTCAGATAGCTTTCATTTGGGAGACAGACAGATTAGTCATCTGAAAATAAATTAAAAAGTGGAAGAACAGCATGCCAAAAAGGAGTGACAGGATATGATCTAATATCCCATGTGTTTCCAGACTTTTCAACAAGCACCTCCTACAGTAGTGTGTGAACATCTGCTACCATTAAGGTGCATCAGCACAATTAATCTGAATATAATTTACATGGCTTTAGGGATGATTTGATGCCAAATTATTGTCTTTTTTAAATTATTTTGATTATGTGAGTGAGCAAGTTAATCTTTATTCACACAATTGCCTTTGTGTGTGTGTTTGGAAGAAAACTTAAGGTTTTGAAGTTTTGATGGTTAAAAACAAGCTCAAATAATCGCTAAATGATTTCTTGAATATGAAGAAGAGTTCATTGTAATCCAATGACATCAAATCTCTATACGGTAGAGCACCTTTGGGATGTGGTTGAATGGAACAAATCTGCTGCAAGTGTTTGGTAATATTGTGTTAGTATGGACCAGCATCTCTGAGGAATGTTTCCAGCATCTTGCTGAATCTATGCCATAATTCATTAGGGCAGTTCTGTGGAAAAAACAGCCCCTGACCCCAACCACAGCAGAATTAAGACTCATCAGTCCAGGCAATGTTTTTTCAATCTCCTCGTCTAACTTTTGTGAGCCTAAGTGAACTTTAGCCTCTGTTTCTTGTTTCCTCAGCTAACAGGTCTGGCACCTGGCCGTGGTCTTCTGTTCCTCTTGTCCATCAGCTTCAAGGTTCAACAGAGTGTGTTCAGAGATGCTCTTCTTCATACCCTTGTATATAGAGAGTGGTTATTTGACTTACCCTTGCCTTCCTTTCCTTGAAGCAATCTGACCAGTTTCCTCTGACCTCAGACATAAACAAAGCATTTTTGTCCAAAATAAATGCCAATCACTAGGTATTTTTTTCTTTTTCAGAACATTTTCTTTTTTTCTTAAACTCTACAGATGGTTATGCAGGAAAATCCCAACACATCAGCAGTTTCAGAAATACTCAGACTAGCCCATCTGGCACCAGCAACAATGCCACATTCAAAGTCACTCATATGACCTTTCTTATCCATTCTGTTGCTTGGTTTGAAGACCTCACTTTAAAAAGGAGAGATTGTTTGGGAAAACTGAAAATGACAGGACTGGAACATTCACTTTAATTTTTAGAGAGTAGTTGGTATGGATCTGTTAACTTTTAGGCTCTTTCAAGGATATTTGGTACTAATTGAGGTTATTTATACCTGTAAATATAACAAAAATAGTCTCCATTACATAGACGTGAATCATGTCACATTCGTTCTGGGCTAATTTTTTAAAAAGGACATGAACGCTTACACAACTGTCCAAATCACCCTTAATTCACCTTACATTTTGGCATTGCCTAACAGACTTCACAATATGAATCTACGAAGGCTATTTGTGCTGGAACTGCAGATGCTGAGTGCAGACAAGAATAAAGGCAGTGATGAATGCTCACGCTGCACTGAAAGATACCGGGCCTCTTGTGGTTGTAGCAAACTTGATGTGGTTTGGGAGTCTCACTTACTGATCACATGAGTTGCTGATTTCAAGATTTAAAAAAAAAGTGGGGGGGGGGGGGGGCAGAATTGGGTTTACAGCCTCGAATCTGCTCTTGAAATCGGCGAAAACACACTCTGGTCCATGTTCTAGTTATTACTCATCACTATATTTGGCAGGCTGTTTTTCCCTCAGATGGGCTCCGGTCGCTGGGACATAATTTTATGTAATTTTCCACTAGTGCAGTGAAACATGTTCAGTCTTCTAAACAATGTCCCTTTCAACAGATGCATTTTATGGCTCTTTGAACAAGTTGTAGGGTAAGATTATAAAGGCATCTTGGGACATATACTCTGATGAACATTAGTAAGCCTGCTGCATTTAATTGTGGACGCATTCAAACACATTCAGCATGTTTTGTTTATAAATTGCAGCTGGGATAGTGATTGCTCTTTTTTGTATACAGCTGAGATCCCATCTGCATTCTTTTAAACATAACTTTTATTAGGATAACACCCTCAATCCAAAGAGATTTTTAAGGTGTTCCACAAAAAATAAGGGATTCAAGTCCCACCGACACAAGTGTCCACTGAAGCTGCTTTGGACCATTAAAAGCAATTCTAATTATTATTATTCGAATTATTACATCATGTAGTTTTTATCAAATACACCAATCACCACTTTATTTTTTGGTGTTGTGGTGGTGATAGTGGTGGTGCTGAAGGTTTAAAACACCCTGCTCTTTCCAAACAAACCAGTATGTTTTTGAAAACATACTGTTCTTGCAGCAGATAATTATTTTCCAGGACATTAATGGCCCATATACAAGCTGTGTTGCGTAACTGGTACAAAGTAGCAAACATTTTATTCAGGTCAGGGTCACAGTGACCACAGAGCAAGCAGAGACATCATGGAATATAATTTATAGCTTTATGTGATGCACTCACAGATTTAGGACTGCATGCACATAAAGTTGGAAAACCAACAAATGTCATCCACAGAGATCGTGACAGAGACAACAGGGCTCACCATGACAGTGGCCATTTTGACTGTATGTGCTGGGTGTCACATGTAATCTCTTGAAGAAGAAAAAAAAGAGGATGGGGGGCTAAGTCAACAGCATACAACTAAGGCTAGGTATGGATGGATGCAAGTTGGTGCTAATAATTAAAAAAAATATTATGTACTTGTTAGCACTAATTGAATTTGCAGATAATTGAGAGATAATTGACTTGACTGGACAAGTTCAGCGACTTCAATAAGTTGAGGGGACATCTAGCAGACAGTTTGCAGTGTTACCATCTACCCTGTTAATGAGTCTTTGCAACCCCCTAAAATGAAACACTTAGTTCTTAAAGGTACAGTGTGTAAAATCTCACTGCTTGGTGCATCATCACAGCTACGCCGCCCAGGGTAGGCCAAACAACTCTGGCCTCCGTTCATCTGTAGTGAGTGTAGGCTGTCAGCCCGCTGTTAACCTCAGCTGGAGTCCATGTTCATTTACTCTGCAGGAGGCTCTGAAAAAGGAGCCGACGAGTCATTAAAGCTCACTTCTGTCTAATGTCAGCAATACTGAGGTGAGTTGTTGAGAACATCCTGTTTTTTGTTTTTTTGCTTTTAGGTGGCATTAGTAAAACTTTCTTTGAAGTGCAAATCTAATATTTTATTCTCTGGAATAAGCAGTTGTGACAAGATCGGGAATAAATGACATGTTTATTCTCATTTTTGTGTTGCACTGGCTATAGAGTAATTGACCCATCTTCAGATCTACCCAAAAGTGGCAACTTCAGGAACTCTGGTTTTTGTCATAATTGACTTTGCTCAGTTTTTTCCTCTGGGTTGCCACCTGAATGACATGTTTGATAAGAGCCTCCCTTCTTGATATATATCCATCCATTCTCTGCTATAGGGCTAACAAGCATGTCTTTGGACTGTGGGAGCCAGAAGTCAGAGTACCTGGACAGAACCCATGCAAATTCCACAGAGAAAGGCCAACACCGGCTAGTGGATTGTAATCCAGGGTGTTTTTGCACCATGTGAGGTGATGATGCCAACCACTGTGCCATTTACTACCACAGCTCAAAGTAAATACTAAGTGCACAATTTCTATAAAGACTACTGCAGGTTTTGCTGTAAAGACGTGATCACATGACAGTGAATTCACTAAGGCTACATTGTCAAACTTGGAGCAGAGCCACAACAAACTGTTCTTACAGTCTGAGCAGTGCTTTTCGTGGCAGGTTCCATCACCTTTCTTTGTAAGCTGGTAAAACTTTCCTCTCTTCTTTTAGCAAGAATTTTCTTTATCATTTTATTCACATTAATTAGGCCTTTAATTTACATAAATGTTTGCAAATAGTCTAAAATGTCTCAATTTCTTCACTGTAACACAACAGAAGAAACGACATTCTCTAAAAGCAATCATTACTGACCAATGAAATAACCCCAGTGTGACTGCAGAGTTAGACCTGAAAACTACACGAGCCAAGCCAAAGCTGCAGTGGAATCTGGGTCAGAGCTAGTTAACAGATTTGTCTTTCAGCCACGCTCATCCATCTACAAAGGAAAAAATACAGCGTGGCAGTCTGGAACCGGGTTGCTGCAGCACTGGAAAAGTACAGGGCCCTTCAAAGGGCACACGACCGACATTGACATCAAAGTACCGTGTAACAGTGGGACATTATTTTGCACAGTCACACTGATATAACCTCAGATAGCACCCCGAAACTGTGTCAGGAGACTTTAACGTCAGCCTCTTTTCACTGCAGAAACACTGGAGCATGGCCACTGTTTCCATTTTAACATCCAGAAACTCAACATTCCCATTTGAACATAAAAGAAGGAACATCATGTTGTTCATTCAGTCTTGTTTTATGTTCCATTTCATGGATAAGTTGCTCTGTGCTTTTTTATCAGCAAAATTTAAAGAGACCTCGAGTTACTTGCAGGAATCATGCACCAAATACACCCAGACCGTGAAAAATGAAAATCACGATCCCCAGGAAAGACACGTTTATTCTGTAGAAATATTTTAGAGATTCATACAATAAGAGAAGAGCAGAATATGTATTTTGTATTAGTATTAGTTAGGCAGACT